TTCTGCCGGACCGGTTAAGATGAGACGGGTAGGAATGACGCTCTGATGAAGTTTTAGCTCTGAAGGTGGAGGAGGGGCTGCAGGTGGGTGGAAACGGGGTCATCTGAATGAAGTCACAGCGCATCCGCCGCCTGCGCACAGGAGCAGACAGGTGTGGATGGGAGGCCTTTTAAGATGAGATTTGGATGCCGATTGGCTTTCATGGAGGTGTGGTTCAAAGCTGATTGGCTGTGCCACAGGTGGATGTATGAAAAACAATTTGTTCCTTCAGTTGAACTTCCATCTAGGCTCCATGTTCTGCTTCCTGCTTTGAACAAACAATCTGCTGATTAGTCAGGCGGCAGGAACAGCATCATGTCCAGCTGTTGGAGCAAATAAGGAATCCCTCTTCTGAATCAGAGGAGAAGGAACCCAGTGTGAATCCTTAATGAAAGATCAGCCTTTGTTGATAAACTGAAAGCAGTTATTGCTTTATTGTCATGAGGATGACTGGTTTCTTCTTCCTCTCTCTGCAGGCTAAGAGATCACATTGCAGCAAAGACCAAACTTCCCATCCTCATATTTCCTGAAGGTCTGTCTTCCATCATGCTTCATGTGAGGAGGCTCATGATGATATTTGAGGTGACTTTGGTCTTTGTCCCAAACAGGAACGTGTGTCAACAACACCTCTGTCATGATGTTCAAAAAGGGAAGCTTTGAAATCGGAGGAACGATTTATCCTGTTGCCATTAAGGTAAATGTCTTTGAGTAATTGAATACAGGTCTGGTTGTGAGAAGATCTTCAGGTTCAGTTTTAACAACAGCAGGTTAGTTTTCGTGTTTAAGTGACTCAGACTGGGCTTTCAGAAGTGTCTGGTTTTATCTCTGTTCCAGTACGACCCTCGATTCGGAGATGCTTTCTGGAACAGCAGTAAATACAACATGGTCAGCTACCTACTGCGCATGATGACCAGCTGGGCCATAGTGGTCAATGTGTGGTATCTTCCTCCTATGACCATACAGGTACGCAGCAAGCTGACATCCCTCTATTTAAACAGGTCAGATTGGCCGTTAGGGACTAAGACCCTCAGAGACTGAGACCCTCCGAGACTAAGACCCTGAGAGACTAAGACCCTCAGAGACTGA